CTATGACAGCGGTTGTTATGTTTATTAAAGGTTAGGGCAAAATTTATAGAGTAAAATAAGTTACATAAATGTAGGGTAGATGCTGAAAACTTTTGGATTTTGATTTGGAAATAACTAGAATTTATTTGTTAGATGTTTATTCTTCTAAAGATATTTTTAGAAAGGATATTAAATAATAATTTTCTTGGGAAGGTTTGAGTACATTCTTTGTTGGGACAAAGTAAATAGTGGTTAAATGAAAAATGTTATTCTTTTGAAGTTGGATATGTGCAGCATCTATCTCTCTTCTATTATCTGTAATACTTTAATAATATAAATGTGTAATAATATATATCCATATGTAATACAATAATATGTAATATTTATAATAATACAATCCAAATTTTATAAAATTTACCTAGCAATCATTAAAACTCCTATGAGGAATTTATTCCTCAGAAAGTATGCTCGAGGGTCTCCCTGGAGGTGCAAGGGGTTAAGATACAACCTATGAAGCTATCCGAAGCACCGCAGCACAAGTTCAATCCCCGGCCAGGGAGCTACCCACATGGTGCAGCAGACCTCTCCTGTATTGCCCACTGCTCCTATCAGCAGTGTATTTCAGTCAATCTGCCTGTTTTGTTCCCCACTCTGTCTCTGGTGAATCCTCTCATCCTCCCGCACATCTGGCCTGTACCCTAGTTCTTATATGCAGAAATAAATAATTATTTTTTTAATAAAGAAAGTATGCTTGAAGTTTTATACTAACCTGAACATTTAAACTGTTGTTTTTATGAATAAGTAAATATATCATATTGAAAGCATCATATCATCTAGCTAAGTAGCTACAAAAACTGATAGCAAAAAAGTGCTCATTGAGTTGGCGAGGAAATTTGAAGGGTGTACAAAGAGTTAAAGGAAATTATTGTTTCAAACTTGAATCACCAACATATCTATTTAGTGAATCCCTCAGTAGGTCAGCCTTTTATCTGGAAGGTGATAATAACTTATTTCTTAACAAATTTAAATGCTTTATTGTTTGGCAGAAACTAATAGATGATCTTTGCCATTATAAGATGCTAAAAATGACCACTAAAAGTCTTAGTTCCTTTAATTCCTGACTCTGGCAAATAGTCTCTCCTTGTACTTAAAGTGTAGGCACTTATTTCATTTTGCCTACTGAATCCCATATTTAACTTTGTTTCATTGTTGCCATTTTATCTTCAACTGTAAACACAAATACATTTCATACCCTACATTATTATCAAATTTAGTTTAGCTATTGTGCAAAAATACCAGCAATATGCTAGCTACTATAGTAATGTAATTACTTAAAGACATTTAACTATGTATTTTTCCCACTATCTTATATTAGAACTTTGCTATTTGGTATGATTTGGTAGATTCTATATTGGAACTGGGAATATTCAAAATTTTTTTCATATAAATTAATGGTCTTGATATTTCTAGATTATTATTGGACACAGGATAATTAGTGGATTGTCCTAATATATATGCTTCACATGTTCATATATATAGTCATATGTATTCTTTTTTATATTCTTGCATCAAACATAATCCAGTGTTATATCTTCTGTTATACTTGTCTATATGAAAAGCTCATGAAAAACATTAGCAAAATGGAGAGATATACTGAATATCTGGAATTGTAAACGTTTCACATAATCTAATCAATGTAGTTAGATGAAGATTTTTGGAAGATTTTTGGAATCCACTCTGAGTTGAAATATAAGGTAATGCTAATTAACTTTTCATAGTCACTTGTTTACCTTACAGAGATATACTGCAATATCTGATACTCACATTTTAATTGTTGCCCCCATCCTATAGTGCATGCTTTGAACTTGCTGTGCTGTGTATTTTAATGATGTAATACGTGCTATATATGTTAGGAAACTATTTCAGTTCCTTTGAGGAATCCAGTGCTCTATGAAACATGTTTTATGAACTAGAGTAGGTCCAACTTCAAAGCCTTTTTCATTTAAAAATAGTAAGCTATTAAGTATCTACATTACATATTTCTATTCAATATATAATTTGGATGTGGTATTGATACATAAACTATTTAAATATATGAAGTCAGTCCACAAACAGGTATAGTATACTTATTTTGACAAAGGTCATGGTGTTCATACTTAGGGACTGGCAAAGTTAGAGACTACATTAATTATGATCTAAGATTAGTGGCTTTAGATATTTCCTCAAAGAACAATTATCAATTCACTGACAATAAACTTCCATGTGCTGTAGCTCATGAAACGAAAGCTCCACTATACTTATTTTCACACTGAAACAGGAATAACAAAGAATAGTAATCTTTTATCCCATAGGCAGGAGGAATCTATTGATTACAATAGATAAATTGTTAGGTGCCTTGTTATATGATTTAATTTGCTGTATCAATATAAAATGTCTTAAAAAATACAGAGGTATACTAGTGAATGTAATTGTTATGAAAACCAAAGAAAACAGAGAACAAAAATATTCTTTGCTATAAATGAGGAAAGTCTTTAAGGTTTTTTGAGTCTTAGATTTATGTATGTAATTCAAATGCATAGAATTTATCACCACTTGATTTTCATTGCCAACTTCTGTTTATTTGACAGAGGTATGATGCATCTATGCTTTTATATAGTGTGTGATGACTTCTAATGTTCTATTATCTAAATTGAGATTACTCAACCTGATCAACTGTTCTTATGTTGGGAAAAAAAGTCCTTATTTACAAATGAAAGTCAGAGAAGTAAATTAATTTTATAAAAACAAGAGAATCAAAAATAATAACAGAAAAAGTATTGATGGATTTGTCTTTTAGACAGAATTACGGTCAGAATTAAAGATTGGAAAAGATAAAAATATATTTCCTCTGTAAGCATTTCTATCCTAGGTACCCTTGGTTGGCAAAATCTGTTCAAAAAATAAGGTACAGATTGTAAATAAGTTCTACAAAATTTTCCTGAAATCTATTAGTCAAACCTAAATCCTTTTCTTTCTTGTTCATGAATACAGATTGAGCTTGAATGAAGTACATACATAGCTAATGCTATTTGGTAACGTTGTGGGTGTGAAAAATAGAGTAAATTAATTTAAACATTTTAAGACAGTGTATTAGTTTCCTAGAACTGTCTTAACAAAGTACTGCAAACTGAGTGACTTACAACAGCAGAAATATATTCTGTCATAATTTTAGGGACTAGAAATTCAAAATTAAGCTTTTAGTGGGACCATACTCCTTCTGAGGCTATATAAAATCCTTCTTTGTTCTTCCTAGCTTCTGGTGCTCACCAGCATTCCTCATCTTACAGCTTCGTGATCCCTATCTCTACTTCTGTCTGCAGTTGCATGACATTCTTCTTGTACTACTATGTGAGATTGTCACATAGCAATCTCTTCTTGTGTCTTCACAATGTCTCTTATAAGGAACAAGTCATCTGGGGGTAAAGGTTCATCCTATTCCAAAGTGATTTTAACTTACATCTACACCAACCCTATTTCCCAACATCTGAATTACTTGGGATTAGAACTTCAACACACTTTTGGGAAACATAATACAACCCATAACAGGCAGAAAGGAAAGTATGTTTGTTAGACAGTCTGAGTGAAAATCTAGATAAGGAGTGTAACCTGTCTCAGAAAATAAATAGTTCCTAATCTTGGCAATTGGATTTGCTTCTAAGCTTTGTAAGGAGAAGTCCTGTATGCAGACATGGGAGGGGATATTCACATGAGCATCTATATCTGTGAGATATGAGGTAGATCTGAGAGTCTGGGGAAACAAAGATGGATAGAGTCCTCAGGAGAGTGCACCGAAGAGGAGAGAGCTGAATAGAAAACAAACCCAGAGATCTGCAGATGCTCCCCTTTGAATATTGAACTGTATACTGATCAGTTCGTATGTGTGAGGAAACTCTCAAAGAATAGAGAAAGGACCACATGGGTTGATTACAGATAATAAGTGCATTACAAGGAACGTTTAAGGTCCTCCATGCAGAAGAAAAATAACAGAGAAATATGAATTTTTACTAAGGAATAAAGATCTCTGGAATGGTAACTATACAGCAAATATATAAGACTTTAAAGTTATTTTTCTAATCTCTTTAAAAGATAATTAACTATTTTTAAAAAATAATGCTTATTTTTTCTGCATCCAACATGAGTGAAATCATAGGTTTTTTTTATGTTTGACTAATTTCACTAAGCATAACTCCTTTTAGTTTCATACACTTTGTTAATGGCAGTTAATTTTTTTTATACTGAATAGGATTCCATTGTGTATATATGCCTCATCTGTGTTATTCATTCATCAGCTGATAAGGACATAGTATGTGTCCAATTCTTGGCTACTGTAAACAGTCCTGCAATAAACATGACATGCCTTTATTCCTAGAATTATCATTTTTCACATAAATATCCTGAAGTGGGATAACTCTATTGCATGGAATTTCTACTTTTAATTTTTTGTGGAATATCAATACTGCTTTTTGAAGGCTTTTAATACTGCAATACTCTTTCCATAATGGCTGCACTAAGGTACACTATACTTACTGAGAAAAATGATTTTGAAGTCTGTTGCAGATAACAGAATCATGATTGCAGAGAGAGGTCTACTTTTTTTTTTTCATTATGAAATGAGGATATTACCACTGTTTCATCCACGTAGCCTTCAAAGGCAGGTTGAATGTTTTTAGCTGTGAGGAAGTTGAGAGAGAACAAATAATGGAGACACTGGGGTATGAACCTTGTCCTTACGCATGCTAAATACAGTCATTAGCTATGCCGCTCAACTTGAGGTGTTTAAGCAGCAACACTTGTAAGCTACAAAGTAACTCCTAAGATAAAAAGAGGAAAAAAGAATAAAGACAAGAGAAATGATAAAATCAAAAGAAGAAATATTGTGAAGGATTATAAATTATTTTTAAATTCAGGGGAAAACTCATGTTTTCTTCAATTAGATTTCTCCACGCTCACATAGTGCTTACCTGGATAAGTGAATCTCTTACCCTAGATTTCTGAGGTGCTACAGTCCTCCAGGGGTTCTCAGTTACTTTTCAGAGTAAGTGTTAATTGTGTCTTGAATATCTTCCTCTTGATCTAGAACTTCTCCTTCAACTAGAGAAGAGATATTTTCCGTTTCAACTAGTATGCTGAACTTGGCCTACAACAGGAACATGATGGCAAAAGAATAACAACAGCTGAAAGGGCAACCTCTTTAAATCATTTTGTGAAAATACTCTCCAAATGTAGACTTGTAAAATCTTTGTTTCTATGATGGTCTTCAAACTGCACTTTCTCTATTTTATGAACAGTTCCTAAGTCTGTACACTTTTATCCTCTTCCAGACATAGCTGCAAATGGCCAAATTTATAAAAGCAGTAAGAATTTGAAAAAGAACTCTGAATAGAACATGTCATTAGGATTTTCAGGGGCAAATGAATACTAGTAGTTATAAAATGATGGTATTAAAATGAAAGATTTTTAAAGTTCTTTTGTGGCTTTATCATTCAATTACTTTCTAAGGCATGATATAAAGAAATTTGTTAGTTTGGTACAGGAGACCTTTCTCAGCTAAAACTCTGCCCACTTTTCTTGACTCATCTCTGCCTCTCCAATTATTCCATTTTATTTATTTATTTATTTATTTATTTATTTGTTTGTTTGTTTGTTTATTTATTTATTTATTTTTATACAAGAGCTGGGGTACAGGCCAGAGATGCAGGAGGGTGAGAGGATTCACCAGAGACAGAGCAGGGAGCAGAACAGGCAGATGGACCGGAAAGCACTGCTGAGGGGAGCAGCGGGCGTGACAGGAGAGGTTTGCTACCCCATATGGGACTCTCCCTGGACGGCCGGGAATTGAACCGGTGCTGCAGAAGCTCCGGACAGCTTCACAGCGCTGCACTCAACCTGCTGTGCCACTGGGGAGGACCTAACTCCATTTTCTTTTAAGCCAAGATCTGTTCCTCAAAAGGGACACAATCTCTCATAGCTTCATGATAGTGCATAAAGTTTGGTAATCTTCTTATCCAAATAACATTATTATTAGCAAACTCCTATTCAAGCTTCAGCTCAGGTATGTTTCTTCTAGGAAGACTTTTCTTTCCCTCAGTGAGGCAGAGTAAATTGAGACCCTATTATTTTGGATATGAAATACTCATGCTCTCTTATTTTTATAAGTATTATTATTGAGATACAATAATACAATAAAATGCACAGATCTTATATGAAGTTTAAATTGCTTTGTTACAAATGTCTACAATTGCTTACCTTACACTTGTATTATGATTTAGAACATGCATATTGTCCCCCAAAAGTCCCTTTTCCCATGTTTCCAGATAATCATTCAAACACCTGAAGGGAAATACTTTTTATTTCTATCACATACTATGGTTTTGCCTGTTGTGAAACCTCATGAAAATGTAATCAAACATGTACTCCTTATGCATGGTTTCTTTGATACTTGAAAATACAAAAACCTATTGTATTTGTCAGTGCTTCATTCCTTTTCTAATACTTAGAAATATTCCATATATTACACAGGCCATAATTTACCATTTACCTCTTGTGGTATTTTAATGGCCTTTATAGTTTTTTGGGTACTGTATATGATGATACTATGAAATTTTTATACAGGTTTTTTTATGGACACGTTTTCATTCGTATTGAGTAAGTAAATTTTTATTACTAATCAAAAGATATAGATAGATACAGAGATTGCTAATCTATATATATAGATAGATAGATATAGGTATAGAGATACAAAGATAGTGACATATCACCTTTGTACATCCATTTACCAGTTACACATTTTGATTGTATCAGTTATTGACCCTTAGAAATGAAGCTGGAAAGAGTATTCCAGTACAAGTCTTTCTATGAGTATATGCTTTACTTCCTTTTTTGTAACTATGTAGGAGTGGAATGACTAAGCCATATAATATCTTAATATACAAATTTATAATAAAACTTCCTTGCTTCCCAAAGTGGTTGTACCATTTTATATCCCATTAGGAACTTGAAAAAAAAATTCAGGGACCATGTATGTTTTGAGTCTATTTCTGGATACAATTCCATTAATCTATTTGTCATTTTTGGACTATAATTACAGTCTAAATTACCATAGCTTTAGTTTTATAATATTTCTGAGTTTGGGTATCATAGAAATTCTTGGATCTGGAAGTTCATAATTTTCATCAACTATAGAAAAAATTGGCCTTTACTTTTCTACCCTACCCTTTTCCCCATCAGGATTCCAAATGCACATGTATTAGGCTACTTGAAGTTATTCTGTTGCTTTATTTTTGGTGTGTGTGTTTGTGTGTGTGCTTCATATTGGATAATTTGTCTTTCTATGTCTTCAAATGCACTAATCTGCAATAATGAATTGCTTTTAATCTCATTAAGCATTATTTTTATTGTCAAACGTTATAGTTTTTGTCTCTATAAGTTTGGAGACAATCTACCACACGTCAGTTGCTAATTTTTTAAGTCAGATTTTGAAATCTTTTCAGCTAATTTTCCCACAGAGTTTTTGCCCCATAATTCTTCCCTTTTTTCTTCTGGGAGAAACAATTATGTGTAATTAAACTGTCTGACTTTATTCTACAAGTTACAGAGCCTTTGTTATTATTTTTCTCTACATTTTCTAAGTTATTCAGTTTAATTGATTTCTTTTGAGATTTTTTTTTTTCAAGTTCACAGATATTTGGATGTTTGGGTTTTGTTTTCCTTACCCAATATAACAACTTTTATTCAATTCCATTTTTATTTCAAATGTTATATTTTCATTTTAGACATTCTTTTTCACATTTCCATTTTTCCTGATTTACCCATCTCTTTTTCCATTGTATCTATTTTCCTGTTGATTTTTCCCCCATATTTACTATAGATATTCAAAAGTTCTTATCTGCTAACTTCCTCATTAGTATTGTTAGGGAGTTTGTTTCCAATGACAGATTTTTCTCTTGACTATGGGCCACATTTTCCCATTTCTTCACACCTCCACAATATTTGTTTGTATACTAAATGTTGTGGATCAAGTCTATGAAAAATTTTCAGTTTCTCTAGTTGGTGAATGCATTGTTGTGAGTTTAGTTTTTAGAAATGGCTTTTGACTTTTTAAGTGGATTTATCTCAGTTTTACTTTTAGGCTTATGGAAAATTTCTTAGTTCAGGACATATTTCTTACTCCTAAGACAATACTTTTCTGGGAGTTCAATAAAATGTATGAGATATGTACTGTATGGTCCTACTATGTGAAATTTGAACTTCAAACACTGTCTCCTTTGAAACAGGTACTCATATTTCTGCTAAGCTCTTTGAACATTCCAGTTGCTACTTCTTGGACTGCATTCAGTTTCCTTCTCAAATGCACAGTTCAAGAATCAATAAAGAGTTTAGAAAAATTTATATGTAGATTTTGGGCTCTCCTCTATAGAGGCTCCTTTTTGAAATTTTTCTTTTAATTTCCAGTCCCTTCAGCAGCTCAGAAAACTTGCAGCTCTCTGTTCAAGCTTATCTGTTTCACACTATTAGACTGAGGCATATCCTGGGATAAATGATAAACACAGCATGATTTCCTTCTTTCAAGTTTGGTCTTTCTTTGAAATTTCTCTGCTTTTTATCACATCCACTGCTAACAACAATCCATTTTCTAACTTATCAAGAGTTTGTATTTAATATAGGCAGGAGGATTCATTCAATACTTTCATTTAATACCCTATCATTACTGAATTTAATAATATCTTTTTTTTTCTTTATTCTCTCAACCCTCTGAACTATGAACACCTTGAGAGGCAGTATCTTTCCTTAGTTTTGTGCTTCAGACACTGTTCGATGTCTATTTTTAAAATTTATTTATTTATTTATTTGGTAGAAGAACTGGGGTGTAAACCAGAAGTGCAAGGTGTGAGAGGATTCACCATAGACAAGAGTGGGGAGCAGAATAAGAACACTGACTGAAATATACTGCTAAGGGGAGTAGCAGGTAAGACAGGAGAGGTCTGCTGTGCCTTATGTAAGTTAGCTCTCTAGTCAGGGGATTGAACTTAGGCTGTATTGATGAACATTGAGACTTGACCCTTAGGCCACCAGGGAGGCCCTGTTTGACATCTATTAACACTCAATAAATATGTGTTCAATGAATGATTATAAAATTTTTGAGCAGGCACCATGGCCAGGGGAGTTCTGAAGGCCAAAATCATCTATGCAACCTTATGAAAAGGAGGAATTTCCAATAAATTAAAAGGTTTAATTTTGCCTCAGTATTTGTCACATCATGTTTGAGCTGAATCATCCTGATGTACATTAGTGCTTGCCATGAATTTACATTGTTGAAGAATGAAATACACACCTTCAGCAATTTACTTCTCCCATTTTGTCTCTCAAAATACTTTGAATTCTATTTATAGGAAGTCAGAATTTCCCCCAACAGCTACCAGTAAACAAAATCTGAAGTAACATGGCAATGAAGATGAAGCTATAATTGTATTTTCATTTAAGGACTACTTCTTTTGCAATTTGTATGCAAAAGCAGTAGATTTCAAGCATATTTAATTTAAGTGATCTTTACTGGATAGAGCTTTCTTTGTGAATGGCCGCTTCATTCGGATACTTTCACGGCAAACAGTCCATACTGAAATGCTTAAGCCTTCTTCATACCTTGGTCTAGAATATATGGTACTTTTGTTATTCTTTCTGTTTACCTTTTTTTTTTCCTGACATTAGCAGAGATGCAGAAGGCAGGTCTATTATATATGCAAAGGAAAAGATTAATTTTGTGAAAGAGGAATTCAAGGGCTTTTGTGGCTCCAATCCATTGTCTCCAATCACTATTGTCTCCTGCTGATGTCTAAACCCGAAAAAGAAACTGGAAAATATATAGGACACCATGTGAGACTCAATTTTTGTGTCTCAGTTGGGACAGTGAACTACAAAATAAATTATATTGGGGCAAGTTTAGCATAGTCCTCAGTTAACTATTTAGAAAGGGGAGGGATAAAGGGGAAAAAATGGCAAAAATCAAAAGAAGTTCTTTCTTCTAGAAAACATCTGTCAAAGAAAACATACTCTGAATATATTCCTTTAATTGATCACTGAAAAAGAATAACAAAGACAGAATACAGTATATAGTAAAAAATACTATACTATGTAAGCAATACATACTATACTATACTATACTATGTGCCTACTAAGTAGTATGCTATGTAAGAAATACATACTATACTATACTATACTATACTATACTATACTATACTATACTATACTATACTATACTATGTACCTTACATCACAGGACTTTCAGAGAACCTGACTTTCTGTCTCCTCTAAAAGATAGTGGATAAGGGCAAAAGGCCATGTTCTCCTTTTGACAAAATACCTGCTCTCTTGTTACATTTGGAAATAATTATTAAAATAAATTGATGTCACAAAAGGTATGAGAACCCAGTTGAATCAAATATTTAAATTTAAGCATCTCCCCTCTCTTCTAAAGATATTTTTAGAGATCAAGGCAGCTAAAAGGAAAATATTCTGTTTCATAATAATAATCTGTTAGTTTTGCTCAATATATTTTAAGTAATACCTGCTGAGTACTGGGATAGCCACTTCAGTGGCCATAAAGATAAATAAAGCACAACTCCAGATCTCCAATTAAATGCCATACCAGGTAGAATAAAAGCCAGATTATCTTAAGAAATATATTTACAAAATGTTATAAGGTTTGGACTTTTAGCAGGGAACTTAGTGTCATATATACACATGTTTATTCTCAACAATGAATGTGTAAAACATATTAACTTTGTAATCTAATGATACTTTAATAAAAAATGCTGTGTATATGTTAGGGAGGAAGCATTCATATTCAGTTAGGAAAATAGAACAAACTTCAATGAGAATGTAGCATTTGGGTAGAAATTTGAAGGTGTGACAGCATGATATCCATAGAAAGGGGAAGTTTCAGGTTGCCTGTCCCACCCAAGGAAGGAAGATGCTGAGCATGGAGGGGAAATTAGAGAAAATTGGGGGAAGGAAGTGAGGAGGAGAAGCAGAGAGATCAAGAAGATTTGGAGGAAGCACATGGAGCAGAGAGACATGTGAAGAAGCGGAATTTACTTCTCAGGCTTGGACTTGTACCAAGGAGAGACAGAGATATGGGTGAGAGACCTGTGGGGAGGCTGACAATGGCAGACTTTACCTTGATTTGTATTTTGCTTTTGTTCTTTTCCTTCGAGACTTTCCTGGCTCCTTCTTCACCTTTCTTATGGGTCCCCACCAGGAAGTGCCTTAGACTTTTGGAAAGCTTTTGTGCCTTAGTGGGCCAACCATGTTTGACTGGGCATTTACTCATGAGGGGATGGGTAACTTTGGGTGTTTAATTATTTTAAATTATACTCTTTCTCTTCTCACTATTGCACACTAATTGTGTTAAATTTCCTTCCCATTGAAGGTCTTATGGACCAGAATATATTTTGTCTTTATGTGATATATGGAAAAACCTATTTTGAGCACGCAGGTTTGGAGGTCCTGGGAAACCCCTCACCCTGCCCTATAACAAAGGACTATTAGATTCAATTCATGGGAAGAGAAGAGGAAGTCCCAAGTTATGAAAGTAGGGCAATGATGCATATATTCAGAGAAAGGCCAGACAACTTGTCCTGCAAAGAAGCAGGAGTATAAGTTATATGAGACTTCCACGGGCAGCTTTAATTCATACTATCACCCACCACAAAACAGCTCTACTCATGGCACTCCTAAGAGAGCCACCTCCTCCACACATCAACATTACAAAATTAAGTGAAGATTTAATTGGGGAGGTAAGGAAATGTATTTCATTATACAAGTCAGAAAATCAATCAAATTCCCCAATAGAAAATTCTGGATTTCCTACCAGAGTTTATCTCCACAGTTGCCACTGTTTCATCTCTCTCACTGTCTATATCACTCTACCTCATTCATTCTGTATCAAATTTCCTGCAAGCAAGACAGTTCTTAGGTCATTTTATGTTTTTTGTGATTTACTTTTCTTCTTGAATTTTCTGCAGCTAAGCTAAAACTTCTCTCTCTACTATGCAAAGGCTGCCATGACCATCACAGATAGGGAAAGTCAAGTACACTAACTAATGGAGCCAGGAATGGATCAGATTATTGTATGTGGTGACTTGTTTATTTGAACAACCTACACTACAGAAAATTGGCTAGATTTTTCCACTCTATTCATCCTATAATTAGAGTTGTAGTGCATGAGGTAGCCTTTAAGATTTGTTTATACTTGTGAAATATGTACCCAAATGTCTCTAATTTGATGTGGAATCAAATAAATTATATGATGTAGAGCAATTGTTTTACGAAAACAACAGGACATGCTATGTTCTGAATTGAAGGATGTGTTGATTTTTCAACTTAAGAGTCATTAGGGGGTCGGTGGGTCATTGGTCTCATGCCAATGGCCTTGAACATTACCAACAAAGACTGAGATGTGATGAGCTAACATTTTGTTTAGAATATTTATCCATTATGAAGTATCACTTTCCTCCCTTCAAGCAATTTGCTTCCAACTACAACATAAAATGTCACATTATTGATGTGGCATTATCAAGTTTCATCATGATTGACCTGATGTCACACTGTTTTGTAACATAACTGGTTGCTGTCAATCAAAAGCACTTACAGAAACCCGTTATAAACATAGGGAACGATTTGTGCCGGCAAAGAACCATCTGGTAGACTTTAAAGATGAGCCTTGTGGTTGTTTAAAAATAATTTTATATAATTTAAAGTTTAAATGTGAATATTTGCTATAATAAAGCCTTTGCTGATCTTTGAAGTTGTCAACATTTCTGTAGTTCTTTAAAGTAGGTGAAAATGTTGAGGAGTTTATGAAAGAGTTGTAGTTTTTCTTTTGGTTGTTTTCTTTGTTTTTAATGTAGCAGTTTTAATTGATACTAGTGATCCAAATCAGGATGTCAAGAACCCAGGGTACAGCCATGTCTTTTCTCTGGAAATGCGAAAGCCCTTCTTCTTGAGCATGAGAGAGAGCAAAAGGAGAGAAGAGGAAAATGGAGTGAGAAAGAGATTAGAAAGAGTCAGTGTTCCTTTCGTTATGATACAAAAAAGGGAGAAAAACTGAAAAAGTGGTGCTATTGATCTTCTGAGAAGTAGGTGGTGATTCCCGGAGCTCCCATAGTAATCTAGGTTCTGAATTTCACCTTTGTCCCAGTGCAACTGCTTCCCGCCTGGCCTGTCATAGAGCATCTACATGAATTCTCTTCTCTGGGTTCTTACATACTGCTATTTCTGCCACTACCAGCTGTTTAAATGTGGCCTTTCTGTGTTTAAGTCTTTGAAGTTAGTTCCGTGAGTTTCTGATGAGAAAGTAAAGAGTGCAGTGCATCTGATTTAGTGTGAGTGTGGTAGAAAATGGAAGGTCTACTGCAACTGTCACAACTTCCTCCACTAGACAACAGGTAGTACTTTGTCAAGGTAGTTTCATTGTCAGAAAAGTCACTGTCTATTTTACTGAAATTACTATGAATGACTTACCTTTTTATCACTCTGCTGCTCCTCATCCTTTTAGCCATTTCCTCACTCTAAGTTCTGCTTCCTTAGATATCTATTGCCTGGTTTGTCCTTTCTTCTAACTGTAGCTTCTTGAACCCTGAAGAAAGAAATCCCCAGAATCACTCTTGCATTCTCTATTCTCTCTCTCATTTTGAAATCTCACCAACCTCATGACTTCAATAATTACTCCTATGCTTTCAGTATTTTTTATCTTATTTATTAAAACATTTTCTATTATGTTTATTGTCATAATGTTGGTCTACAACAGTGCATATGTTTTAGAACTATAAGTGCATACCTCCACAAAATTATGTTTTCATACCATGCCTGCCACCAAAGCAGCAATAACCTGTACCAAAACTCCTATGCATTTAAAAATTACATTTAATAAACATACCCCTACAGCTTAATTATTTGGCTTTTTTTCACATACAATGCTTTATCAAATGTTTTACGATGCCTCACTAAATATTTTACAAATATTTGTGTGACAAATCTGATAACAAATTATAATATATATACCATGGAACAGATGACACTGCAGAATTCCTTGCCTAATCTTCTTCATAGTATAGTTAGAAAACCAACGCAATACAAAACATGAAATTCAAGAGATAAAAAAGGTTGTCCAAACTACACAGCCAGTAATGATGGTTACAGAAGCAAAAGCTTAGCATCCAAGCCCAAGTATCTATTTGTTTGATTTTGCCACATAGACTTTTCTGAATGTTTTCTAAAGATTTTATAAGTATCTATGGTTCCTCTCTCTTGATTCTAATATTATTAAGTACTCTCTAAAAGTTCTTTGAAGGAGAAATAAGGAAAATGGAAAGACTGAGAAAGTTTGTACTCAGATTAAAATGTTCCACACGAGCACTTTCTCTTTAGAGTCATCAGTAGCATCTTCTACAAATCACTGCATTTGTGCTCATTATATTACCTTTAAAAATATAGTTCTCGATATTTAAAAAAAAAGAATTACATACATATTTTTCTCTATATTTATTACCGGGCTTTATTTATATTTGTATAATTTGTCATGTTTTAACTTGAAAACCACTCTTACTTTCTTTATTAGTATGTGATTAAGAATATTTTGCAATTAATTCATTTAATACATTCAGTTTAGATGTGGGCTACCTGGATGCTTTTTATTGGCTCACATGCTTTAATTTTTTTAATGGCTGCTTTTTTTTCTCTAAGTGCTTTCTTGCTTTAAAATAATTGTAGACATTTCTCTTATTAAAATTTTATGTTTCATCTCTCCCCATTTTAGTCATCATTAATTGCATGTCCTCCATCATATAGTAAGTGGCCTACTTCCCTTTGAGGCACTTCTTTGAAAGGATCCTGACACACTTCCATCCATTCATCTTGACTTAAAATTGGCCTTATAGTTTTTTTAACTGGCAATTGTCCCAATTTTGCTAAAATTTTTTTGTTTTCATCTACATTTCAGTTGTTTTTCTTTTTCAAATGACATATGTTATATCATTTTTCTATATAGAAAAAGCAGAAAGATTGAAAATAGTTCTCAAGAATTCCTCTAAGTCAGCCTTTTTTTCTTTTTATTACAAGCAGCATTGCTTTTATATTAAGGGAATTAAAAAAAACTCATATCCTGTCTGACTCCTGAGATGTAAGCTTCTCACATGTTACGGCAAATTGAAAAGCTACAGCCCAATGCAGTCCTTCCTCTCTCTGACCTCAATGGCTCCCAAGTCTTGTTTACTGATACTCCGCAGATTTTCCAAGGCCAGGGAGAGATCTCAGTCTGGTTACCAAAATTGGTATTAATGGCCCTAAGTTCTCGGTGTAAGTAGATCTTCCTCTCTATTAAATTCCTGGCTTCTTTGAAGGATCCTGGGGAAAGAATGGAAGAGGAGGAAATTGCTATCATCCTTCCCTCCAAGAGTTTTATCAGCAGATATAGTCACTGCACCTGGTTGTTCTCGTATTCATACCTGTGGAAGAGGATATTTTAATATTTCTTTCTGGCTCTAAAGGACTAATTGGATTAATTAATGATGAATTTGATTAATGAATGTTTGTACTGTTTTTTTCCCCTGGAATGTTGTAGGTGAATCTAGTTCTCCTATAAGCCTTACATGCTTTTTTGTGATAAAATAGTAAGGAAAAGTAAGAGGTTAGCTAATGAAAATACCAATAATTTTCTATTATCTTAAAAGATTGAGGGGATTCATGATGGTTCATTACCAAATTATATTTGCATGTTACTTACTACTGCATTGCCCTTGGTACTGCCTAAAGCATTTGCCCACAATTTCAAATTATGCCAAAAATTCATAATACTTGAGATTTTTCAAGACTCAGTTACTGTCTTGAAATTTACCTTACTATAGCCATCCACTAAATTATATCATAATCCTTTCACTTTTTATGATTCTATCTTGCAGCTTCTCACAGCCCAGATGTGACCTAGATTGACTGAGAAGAAACTCTTAGGCAGAAGCTTATGGTGAAATCATTTAAAATCTTAGGCCAATTTGTGGTTCAAAAATATTCTGCTATGCTGTTAGAGATGCGTTCACTTCACTCAAGACAGTTTGTATTTGAAGCCATTGCTAGCAATGGTAGGTTGATGGACAAGCAATCTTCTGTTCATATTAGATTAGACCAGCAGTTACTGCTTGATAAGGAGAGAGGGGCAAAAACAACTATCTGAAAAAGAAATATTTTTCTTTTTTTAAAAAAAAAAGATTTATTTTTATTTATTTATACAAGCACTGGGTACAGTCAGAAGTGCAGGAGGGTGAGAGAATTCACCAGATCCAGAGAGGGGAGCAGAGAAGGCAGACTGAAGTACACTGAGGGGAGCAGCGGGTGGCAGGAGAGGTCTGCACGCCATGTGGGACCCTCCTCCAGTGGCCAGGGAGCAGCTGGGGATCGAACCGGCGCTGCAGAGGCTGCGGGCAGCTTCACAACCCAGCGCTCAACCACTCTGCCACTGGGGAGGCCCAAGAAATATTTTTCTTATTGGGTAAAAATGGATCCTAGGGAGGATGGTGAAGTAGAAGGCAACCATTCTTTTAATGCCAATTCTCTAAAAGATAGGTATTTACTTCTTTGTTGACTATTCTCTTTTTTGTGCTGAAAGGAAAAGAAATGAGTTGTCAAGGTTGCTGTGCAGTACAAGAAAAAAGAAACTAAAGTTAGTCAGTCAACCCATTTATTAAGTATCTCCTAGGGAGTGTAGGTTGCTCCCTAACCTAGCCTCCACAGACAAACAGATTACAGGAGAGGCTCTTAATGCTGAGTAAAACAGAAGATAAAGGGCAAAGTACTGTGAATAAATTTTGCATTCAATTCTTAAGAAGATTAAGAAATAAAGGGATAGTCAGGATATATAAGACTTTATATTTAAAATCTGAAAATCAAGAAATTAAATATTATTAGCTAAGCAACAAATTATATTGACTGTTTAGTGGGGGGTTTTTTGAAAAGAGAGTTTACTTATAAAGGATGTTTCATTTGAGTCAGTGTTAAGGTATGTTCAATGACTTTGATTTGAAGAGTGACATCTAGTTTTCTTAGCAAGTCTCACATTGTTTTACTGTAATACAATAATCACTATCAGAGGCTATATACAGGTCAGTGGTGGTTTTACCTCTGAGAAGTGAGTAAGTTATTTTCTGAAAACTGAAATGATATAGAATTGCTAAAGTTTTTGCATACTGAAATTCTCTTTTTCCGATTAAGCAGTAAACAATTGGAAAATGCACTTCAGTTCCTCTCCTGATTGCTTTAGAAATGAACAGAATTTTTAGCATAAACACTTTATGGGTTGAGGGGCCTCCCTGGTGGTGCAAGGGGTTAAGCAGCACACTATGAAGCAAACTGCAGCCTCTGCAGCACGAATTCAATCCCTGGCCAGCCAGACAGAAAACCACATGGTGCAGCAGACCTCTACTCTCTCGCCCACTGCTCCCCTCAGCAGTGTATTTCAGTCAGTCTGCCTGTTCTGTTCCCTGCTCTGTCTCTGGTGAATCCTCTCAACCCCCGCATCTCTGGCCTGTGCCCCAGCTCTTGTATGCATAAATAAATCTTTAAAAAAAAACTTTATGGGTTGAGGTGATTGGGTTTATTAGTAGTTATCTACATCATGTAAGTGATCTAGTAATTTGGGTTTGGTGAGACCACCCAGTCATGATACCCATGGAATAATGCAACTGTGTAGTATGATGAGGTATGAGAAAGTAATGACTGGAGTCAATTGCACATGGTCTCCAGGCCCTGGGACCAAATGTGAACACCACAAGGGCTAGGGGTTCAATTTATTGTCATCCGTGTAACCTTTTTAAGTACGTGGGTTCAGGAAGCTCTTTCCTAGATCACGCTATGCACCTAAGCACAGTAGATTTATTTTCATGAACTTTCCTTCTACTTATTTTCCTCAAAATAGGACTGTATGATCTGAATAATAATTAGGGAGCAAATTTCTTGATACCAAATCATGAAAAAGCTTTTAATAGACAACCCTTCCCCTTGAAAAGTTGAAAGTGGTATGATTATTCAATTGTTCATGGTGGTAACTTAATTCTGTTTTGAGTAGCTTCTGGGAAAAACATACTTAAGGAATTGAATTTTGGCCAGAGTACTATAGCAAAACTCACAAAGAATCTAGGTTTTATGCTTTTGTTGCATAGAAGTGTTACAAGGGAAATTTGGCTTTAGTGGTCCCCTAGAAAATTACTTCTATACCAAGAGTAACTGATCCAATTGGATTATGACTTCCAAAAAAGTAGCACATAAAGCAGAGAAGAATGAATACTATAAGCAATCAAAAAAAAAAAAAAAAAACAGATGGTATCTCAAGGGTGGACTAATACTAAGTTGAGGGAAAAAATATTTTCGTACTCATATTTCAAAAGGGAATAATTTAAAATAATGCTAAAGATAACATGACAGCCTGGTAAATATTAATACTAATGACTCAGACTGTTCTCTGGAAAAGGCTTGTTAGGTGTTGATTGTGTGAGTAAATTGAAGTAGGAGAAGTATACAGATATGCCTTTGTATTATTAGCTAAAATAATCAAATGTCAAAAATCCTGGTGCCTGATTACGATATGGTTTA